TAAGACCCGGAGTTTTATTCTAAAAGGTCAACCTAATAAGAGTAGCCCATGTGTTAATATAACATTTTGTTCATCCAAACTTTTCTGGTGTAGGACATTTACACCCCTCCTCACGATTAGATCAGACACTTCGTCTGGATCGTGCCATCATTCTTTTTTTTATCGGTCCGTTTTTCATCCGGCCATAATTTTCATTTTTTATAATCATGTCAACATTATTCATAAGGTCTCCCATACCATGGATCGATATGGCTCTGATACTATGTTAAGACCCGGAGTTCCATCCTAAAAGGTCAACCTGATAAGAGGAGTAACACATACTCCCTCCGTCCCTGATTGTTCTTCCAAATTAAAGTGGCACAGTGATTAAGAAAGTGAGAATTGTGTGGTGGAGAGTTGTGCAGAGGAGAGAGAAATGTTGTGAACCACAAATTCTTTGCCAAAAAGGGAAAGTGAAGTTCTTTTTGGGACGGACGAAAAAGGAAAGTTGGAAGTAAATTTAGGGACAGAGGGAGTATGTTAAATTGTTAATATAGCATTTTGTTCATCCAAACTTTTCCGGTGTGGGACATTTAACAGGGGCTCTAAGTCAACCTGATTATTTGGGTTCGAAGGAGTCCCTAAATTGTTGTAGTCTTAACCCAATTCATTAACAAAAATTATAATTCATCACATATTAAATGGTTCAATTATATAACTGGCCTGGGGTACATAATTCCTATGAGTTTAATTTTTATTTTGCGAATGTTTGATAATAACTCTGGTATAAATACTTCTAAAATTATTTCTCTATATTCACTAAACCATGCAATTAAAAAGAAAGTTATTTTGTGAAAGATGCTCTTTCAATGGTAGATGTTGCAACGGGCAAGATAGGCATAAACCCCTACCTTCTAGCTTTTGTACTATTTCAATTCAAAGAGCTTTTATAAGTTTCTAATTGAATGTTAGGCATGACAATTTTTAAAAACTTTTTAAAAATAAAAGATCTTTTCGAAAAAAACTTTGTTTTTTATAAAAGATCTATTCGAGATGTGAGATGCTGCCGTGAATAACATCTGAAAAAGTCTATAGCTTGTAGCATTAACTATTTACAACAACTTTATACGAAACATAACAAAATCAAATAGTCATCTTTTTATTATCAAACAACTGCCGCCTTTTAATTTTAGGGAAAAATGTCAAATATGTCCTCGAACTTTCATAAAAAGGTCAATTAAGTCCTTCTATAGGAGGTTCTGTCCGACCGTCGCGATTTGGGGCAGTTTCTGGTGGAATTTTTTGATGAAATTTTTTGAGCATCTTATTCACCAAGTCTAGTTTACTCATACCAAATTTCAGCTAAAAATTCAATCGGGAACACATTCAAATTAATTCTTGAAGATAACTGCGCATTTTTGCGTTCTCGAATTAATTTGAATGCGCTCCCGATTAAATTTTTAGCTGAAATTTGGTATGAGTAAACTAGACTTGATGAATAAGATGCTCAAAAAAATTCATCAAAAAATTCTACCGGGAACCGCCCCAAATCGCGACGACCGGACAGAGTCTCCTATAGAAGGACTTAATTGACTTTTTTATGAAAGTTCGAGGATTTATTTGACAGTTTTCCCTTAATTTTATAATCGTTTTAGACACTAAAAGTTAAATATCTTTTCAACTAGTTGTGCCGAATATATCTTAAACCAAACTCATCGATGAATCTTGATGAAGATCTTAGATCATGTTGATATTATTCATCACAAATTAAAGAAAACTCCTCAACAATGACCTTTAACAAGACTAGAATGCCCGCCTAACAACAGTAGTGCAGATTCCATTCGACATATTCCATATACTCCCTCCGTCCCGAAAAACAAGTTCTCACTTGTCTTATCTGGATGTCCTAAAATAAACTTCTCATTTCTTTATGTGACAAATTATCCCCATCAAAACAGTGAAAAAAAGTGTCAAACAGTGCAAAACAGTGCCAAACAATGTCGAAACAGTAAAATTTACCACTCAGTAAATTTATTTCCTAAAAATGTGTGAAAGTCAACCTGGGAACTAGTTTACGGGACGGAGGTAGTATGAATTGTGTTGACCAGGCTTCCACTGGCCAATGTATATAGTAGAGTCAACTCGAGACCAATTAAGATCGACCTACTTCAAACATGGGACAATAAACAATATAACAGGTGAAAATAATGTGAATTATATGTTTGACTATCCTTTTAAAAACATAACAAATGCTTTGCATCATTCGAAGTGACACGTTTTCTCCATTTCATGTATCTAACCAATGAGTTGGTCTTTAAACTTGACTTGCTTAACAATTGGAAAATCACATAAATATAACTTAACAAGATTAACTAGCTTTGATTCACATAAATAAGAGACCTTATGTTTCAGATCAAGGCATGATGTTAAGTGTGAACGACTTTGTGTTTAACTCACGAAAGAAAATCTCCATTTCATGTGGGAACTGTTTGAAAAGTTGAAGTATTTCAAATTAGCTTTTTCATTTTCTTTACACTTTGTCCCACGTACACCGATTTTGGAAGGAAATCTTTGAATCCTTTTAAAAGCACATTCCTTTGTAAGAGCATCTCCAATGTCATAATGTGCACGGTGCACATATGGCATGAGTGATAGCCACATAAATATTAGCATATAAATTATCTCTCTCCTTATTTGAATGATTTTATACAATTTTGGTAAGTTTTTCCCTGCAATGTCAACAACAATGTCAACATCTAGACGGTCTCCTTGACATTTTGGAGAAAAACCTACTAAACTTGTATAAAATCATTCAAATAAGGAGAGAAAGAATTTATTTACTAATATTTGTGTGGTCATTTCTCATGCCACATGTGCACCGTGCACATTTTACCATTGGAGATGCTCTAAGGAGTAAAAACAAAATAAAGGTAATCTCTCGAATTTTGCCAAAAAAATATGTGGGGTGAGATTACTAAGCAACACTTCAAGATATAAGAATTGTTTACTAGGTAAACATTTATGGAAAAAATTGTTTATCTCACCGGTGAGATCAACAATTTTTTCCATAAATGTTTACCTAGTAAACACTCCTTATAATAATAAGTTAATGGTGAAATTTAATGTGAAGTAAAACTGTCTAACTATTTATGAGCATGAAATAAGAAAGTGGTGTTAAACAAAAATATGATTAGTAAGTGCCTGTTTGATAACCTCTATAACTGGCTTATCAGTCTATTTTCCAAAAAAAATGCTAACATAAAATTTTTGATTCATCACTTAAATTTTGTAATTATAAAATTAAGGTTGAAATAAATATTTTGACTAATCATTGAAGATAACTATTTTAACTATATTTTCATATAAAAATTTTATGTATTCTATTAAAAAAATACCGAGTACATTTTCAATATTCTACAATTCACGACATTCGATCCCTCAAGTAGAATTTCATGAATTTCAATAAATTGAAATGATTCTAACATATTTAGAGCCCATTTGGTAACACTGGAATAGGCTGAATCGGTTGATCTTGCTGAAATTTATGAAGTTTTGGCTTAAGTTGTTGTATTGGATGATTCTGCTGATTAATGAAAATATTAAATTTAAAATATATATTATTAATACAATAAAGAAAATATTATATGTAAAAAATAGCTAAAATGGTCCTTTACGGTAACTTCAGTTGAAATATCCAGAAAAATAACTACAATTTTACCTTTTCTTATTATTACACTTTTCAGCGCGCGAAATAAAAAAAATTACGTGTTTGGTGAAAAAGTTGGGTAATAAATCTGATAAGCTGAATAACAGTGTTGCTAAACGGCTCTTAGTCCTAGGACTGGCAATATCACCCGCACCCGCGGATACCCGGTCAACCCGAACTGAAAATATGGATGAAAACCCAAAGAAGTAAGGATGAAAAATGGATGATGGGTAGATCGAAAGACGGGGTGGATCGGTTGTGGATGAAGGCTCATCCAACCCATCACCTGACCCGTCACCCATTCCATCCACCCACCAGCTGACCCGCATATAAGTATATAAGTATATAATATATACTATATCTAATTAATAATATATAATATATAATATATAATAATAATAATAATAATAATAATAATAATAATAATAATAATAATAATAATAATAATAATAATAATAATAATAATAATAATAATAATAATAATAATAATAATAATAATAATAATAATAATAATAATAATAATAATAATAATAATAATAATAATAATAGTGAATTGGTGAAACAAAGATAATTGGAGACCTTCAAGAATTGGCAGTTGAATAGCAAAAATAGTTTTGTGCCGATGCATAAATGTAGAATTTAACTACTTGAAGAAGTTTTATGTCTATTTTGTCTAACATTCAATACTTTCTTTATCATCGGCAGTGAATTAATGATTATAATATATTTAATTGCTCATGTTTTTGTTGTTATTTTACAATAAATTCTTAATTTTTGGTTTTTAATTATCATGATTTCTCTTTGTAATTTATTTATTTTGTCTCAAGTTTGACCATTTATATTTCACCCGCTACTCACCCGATCCACCCGATAACCCGTTCAAGATGGATGAATTAATGGGTATAAAAAATGGATGATGAATGAGTGAGTGAAGTATAAAAAATTAATGGGTAGACGTGGATGGGCATCCACCCAGTCACCCCGGTGGATGGGCATCCACCCAGTCACCCCGGTGAAAATCCGACCTGCTGTCACCCATAGTTAATCCATTTGAATTTCAATTAACGTGTTACCACGTAGCAAAAAAGTGAAAAAACCCATCAAAACCACTCAATTGTACAAATGTACGTATTGAGTAGAAAAGCGGTGTGCAACTAAACTTTGTTTTTACTAGCAGCTGGGAGAAAGGTAAATGAAAAATGATGGCTAGCTAGTCGACAATCACTGGTCCTCACCACTTTCCATGTCAGGCTTCTATCCCTACCCTTTTTCGGCTTATATGCCCTCCACTCTCACTTTCATACCCAAAACCGATGCTGAAAAGTCCAGTCCATCCCCCCCAATTCCGATCACATGTGACTTCCCCTGATTCTCTATAATGCTGCGTACCGGAAATGGCGTCACCAGTAATGGGTTGGTGGAGATGAAGGAGCGCCAGCGCTGGAGACCCGAAGAAGACAGCCTTCTCCTCGCTTATGTCAAGCAGTACGGCCCTAAAGAATGGAGTCTGATTCCTCAGAGAATGGGTAAGCCGCTGGATCGGGATCCCAAGTCCTGCCTTGAGCGGTGGAAGAATTACCTGAAACCCGGCCTGAAGAAGGGCTCCTTGACGCCGGAGGAGCAGGGCCTGGTCATTTCTCTCCAGGCGAAGTACGGCAACAAGTGGAAGAAGATCGCCGCCGAGATCCCCGGCCGGACGGCCAAGAGGCTGGGGAAGTGGTGGGAGGTTTTCAAGGAGAATCAGGCGAAGCAGCTCCAGAAAACGCGGAAGCGCCAGGGCTTTCACGACGGGGCTACTCTCTCCGGCGGGGGCTCGCCGGAAACCGCCGTACAGGGGAAGTACGATCACATTCTCGAAACCTTCGCGGAGAAGTACGTACAGCCAATAACGCTCTATGGGTGTACGTTTCAGTCGTCCCTGCCCCTCCCGCCACCCATCTCGCCGCCGCCGCCCGTACTTTCCCTCGGCGCCGGAGAACCCACGGCAACCGGAGCACCCTCCCCTGTTCTCCTCCCTCCATGGATGAATTACACCATCCCCTCCGCTCCGGCGTCTTCGTCTTCATCGACCTCGTCCTCCACGCCGGCCCTGCAATCTCCGCCTTCCGTCATCAGCCTCAACCTTTCAACCCCACCCGAACCTCTGCAACACCAGCAGATCTGCACCCTGATCCAGTACTGCAAAGAGCTGGAAGAAGGGCGGCAGAATTGGGTTCAGCACAGGAAGGAGGCGACATGGCGGATGAACAGGGTGGAGCAGCAGCTGGAGGCAGAGAAGGCGCGGAAAAGGAGGGAAAAAATGGAGGAGATAGAAACAAGGGTGAGGTGTTTGAGGGAAGAAGAAGATGGGTTTTATGGAAGGATTGAGAATGAGTACAGGGAACAGGTGATTGCAGTTCAGAGAGATGGAGAAGCTAAAGAGGCAAAGTTAATGGAAGCATTGAGCAAGCAGCATGGGAGGCTGGCTAAGGTTGTAGAACAAATTGGTCTGTGGTGAATTAGTTGTAAGTAGGACATAGATTTCATAGCTAGCAAGTCATCATCAAGCTGCAGTTTTCACAGATTTGGTGTCCAATTCTTCCAAACCATTGTAAAGACTGGAAATTTGAATGGGCAATTCTTCCAAACCATTGTAAAGACTGGAAATTTGAATGGTCAATTCTTGTCCATCTAGATAGGTAATTGGCACACAATTATTAATTTTTTAAACGAATTGACTGTGTTCATCTGCAATTAAGAGCGTCAATTAACAATTGTGTAAAAATGTAATTTTCTACTACCTTCGTCCCAAATTGATTTGCAAATTTGATTTTTCTTAGTCAAACAGTTTCATTTCATTCGATTAGTTATGATGTCAATTTTTAATTATATTCTAATATATTCTAATTTGGAGTTTACAACTTTGACGAGATTTTAATATAGTTTATGAATATATAAATTTTAATTATTAAAAATCGAATTAATTATCGATAGAAAGCATTGAATTTTCTTATTGATTGATCAAAGATTGTAGCATTGACTTTTCTTATTGATTGATCAAAGATTGTTGACTTTTCTGAGTAGATGTAATTTTCACAAAAATGTTAATTGTGTAAAAATGTAATTTTCCAATTTGAAATGGCAAGCAGTGAAGCAGTGCATGCCTTATGTTCATTACTTTCGTATGCATATAGCACGCTACGTCTAGTCCCGATTCTTTGTTTATTTTGAGGGTGACAACTCCGGTACCCATTTAAAAAATGGGGGTACCGTACCTACTATGTATTTGATTGGTCCAAATCATTAAATCCCTTTTAATTTAGATTTAAATAATTCAACTGCATGATTCTGATTGGTCCATGTGGACAAAAGTACGGTACCTTATGGGTACCGTAGAATCTACCTATTTTGAGTCCTTCATTTCTGATTTGTCCCAGAGTTCCAGTTCCATCATATTCATTCAACAGGCTGGACATAGATTTCATTACTAAAATAACAAGTCCAACAATGTTTAATGACAATTAATAGTCCATTGTATTTAATCCACGCATGAATAATTTGTTTGCCCTTATTTCATGAATATACTTTTTCCCTTAAAACTGTGTGATACAGGTTTGTATAGAGGACATATAATTAACTGGAATCACAAAATTTTTTATTTAAAAGGGAAAATGACGAAGTTAATGAAACAATAAAAAAAGGAAAGCTGACAAATTTTGAGAGACAAAGTATACTAAATGAAATTCAAAAGACAAAAATATGAGTTAATTTATAATTTTCCAAAAGAGAGACATTCAATTACTAGTTTTCAGTGACTCATCATCTATCATAGACTTGTCACTTTAAAATACGGAGTACATTATAGTCACTAGTCATAGTTTTGTTCAAATACATAACTAGTCATATTTTTGTCTGGTGAAACTTTACTGGTAATATAGTAATATACATGTCATTTTTCCAATCTTTTTATCGGAACTTTTGTTTTTTAAATTTAAATTATCCTAGAATCAAATCAAAATAAGCTACCTTGAAATATACTCCGTAATTTTTTTGCCTCAATCTGCGGAAAAGGACTTCTACTTTTTTTTTACATATTTTATTTTATGAATAAAATATATACCACCTCCGTCCCTTTTATATTGGTACGAAAGAGGATGACACGATTATTAAGAAAAGTGGGTTTGTATGATTGATATTAATTGATAAAGTAAGAATAAAGTAAGAATGATTTAGAGTCACACAAACTTTACCAAATATGGTATGAGACAATATTAGTGGGACTTCCCAAAAAGTAAAACGGAACAATGTAAGGAGACGGAGGGAGTATTAAATATGAAGTATACTATTATTTCATTATTTAGCAAATTCATTTGATTCGATGTTTAAACTAGAATTTGCATTACCAAACTAGCTCTTGGTAATGGTACGGTGAAATTGGTTGCATGATTGGATCAATTGAAAACTGTTGGAATTATGATCGAAATTGAGTATACTTCGTGATTAATTAATTAATGTAATAAAGTATAGTGGCAAAATGGCTAGCTTGGAATATACTATAATCTGTTTCTTTTTTAGTTCCAATTTTTTTACACTATTCACGTTATCTACTTTGACTAATTTTTATTTATTAATGTATAAAATGATTTGGTTTTGAAAAATATTACTGATTTTGTCTCATTATATAGGCAAAATTGATAAAAAAATCTCTACTTTTACCAATTAAACAAAAATAATCCCAACTTCAAACTTTTACACTAATAATCCAAACTTCTTATCCCCGTCACTAAAATATAATAAATGAGGGCAGTGTTATCGTTTAAACAAACACCGTTAAACTCCTCTTCTCTCTTTATCTCCTTTCTCTGTTGTTGAAGAAGCGATGAGTAGTCCCGATTAATCTTTGGTCTCTCACGCAATTACTCCCTCGCCAAAAGATAATTGATTCCCAGATTTCACTATCTCTGTTCTGAATCCTTTACTTAATATATCATCTGTATTGTGCTGGAATGTGTTTGTTCTATCAGTAACATCTCAAGTGTTTTTTGTTGCTGCAGGCCTTAACCGACATTCTCCCTTCTCTAAAGGAATCTGGGCATCGTCAACGAAAAATTATTATTTATGGTTGCCCCTTGTTCGGGCCTGAGGACACCATCCGCAACGGACAAGAAACGCTATGCTTGCACTCAGTGGCGGAGCCATAAATACGGTCCAGGGGAGTCGAGAATCAACTTTATACAAAATGAAAATGGTGGATCGTTTCCAAACAATGTCCGAGTTGAATATTTTATATGTAGTTTAGATAAATAGGCACTCGTAACAATAAAAGAGACTGTTTTTGCTCTATTTTTGAGTCATGTCACGTAAGTAATGAGTTAATTATACGCTATTTTTAAAATTTGGAGAAAAAAATCAATATTACTCATCAAATTTTGCTGATTTTACGTTTAGATAGTGGTGATTTTGCAGAAGTCATAACTTTTTACTCGTAATGAGTTACGGGGGCCATAATATATCAAATCGAAGAAATTTCGGAGCTCTATGCTCTCAAACTTTCAGCGGGGTCGACTGACCCCCCCTTGGCTCCGCCCCTGCTTGCACTTCACTTTCCCTTTGGGTTTCAAAGGGGCCGAATCTTGTCCCGATTTCATCACTATAGCAAGCGGCCATGTGTTGTGATAGAGTTGTATTTTTATTATTTATTATTTCTATTTTAACTAGTTTTATTTGTTGTTGTTTGGAAAATTACACACTTTTGGTGTAATTAGTTTATTTTCCTATATAAATGTAATTTGTTTAGATTAGGATTATTCTGAGCTTAAAACAGGTCAAGATCATCCAAAGGATCAAGATTGGACCCCAAAAGATCAAGGAAAGTGCAAGGGGACAAGATAAAAAGAAGATTGAGAAAATATTTCATATACCCGGTCGGGTATAGGCAATACCCGATCGGGTATTGAGTTGATTCGGGTGTCAAAATCAGAATCTGGAGAGATCTGGAGAGACAAAAAAACGTGCAGGATTTTGAAGATTTGGCTCATACCCGATCGGGTATGCCTTCATACCCGATAGGGTATGTCTAGAAAAGTGATTTTCCGGGAAACTGCCTAAAATACCCGATCGAGTACCCTATATACCCGGTCGGGTACACCACCCTGCTACGTCCAAACACCTATAAATACACCCCTTTTCCTTCACAATAAGATCACTCCTTCTTCCATACTCTTAAGCTCAGTTTAGAATAATATTTCTTTTATATTTTTATAGCATGTTTAGTCTCCAAATGAGGAGCTAAACTTCCATTTCTTGGTGTTGCTCTTGAAGCTTGTTGATTATTAAAGTTGTGAGTTATTTTCTTAACGTCTTTCCTTGAATATTAATGCTTCTCTTAAATACTATTTCTATATCAATGTTGGGGAGTGTTGCTAAGATGACAATTAGTTAACATCTTGACATTGGTCTTAGTAATAGCTATTCCTTCCTATATGTTAATATTGGGGAGTGTTACTAAGATGTCAATTAGTTAGCATCTTGATATTAACTATAGTAGGATTCATTTTCCTTAATATTCTTCCTTGAATATTAATTAATTCCTATTCATATTTCATATTAATATTTTTGAACATTACTTAAAGGATCAACTAGTTTTGTTTCAAATATTAATTATTACTAGAAACGATCAACGAACCGATGGTTAATCGTTGATGGTTTCACAAGTAAGTAACTTCGGTTTATTAATGCACGGTCGTGGTTAGTAAACTTAAGAGGGATTAATTTTGTTCGTTAAACCGAAACCGTTGTGTTGAGGTTATCAATCTCAATTGATTTCATCAAGGAGTTAAGAGATTAAATGCTACTATCAAGAAGGTATATGGCGTTGTTCTATACTTGACTAATAGTAAGGGTTATTAATGAACGGTCGTTGTTAATAACTTTCCTCGATGAATTGGATATACTCCTCGATTGAGTATTCGAGAGGAGATAAGTTATAGATATAACAATGATCGACTGAAATATATCAACAAGTGGAAAGTAGCAATGCCAAGTCCTTTTTATCATTGAATTAAATCACATATAACTCGTTCATCTTCGCTTTTAATTTAATTAAATCATTCAACCCAAAACCCCCCTTTATTTACTCCTTTCGTTAAAAAGATAAATTATTCCTTTCCCCGTGGATACGAACTCTACTTCACCTATACTACGTATAAGTGTTAGTATTGAATTTATTTTGAGTACACTCACGACAAAGTGCACGTCAAATTTGGCGCCGTTGCCGGGGAAAGACAATTATTTTTCTTTTTATTTTATCTCATAAAAATCAAAAACAAAAAAATAAAAAATAAAAAAATATTTTAAAAAAAAAACTTACTCTTCTATTTTCTGAGCTTACATGAGTTATGAGTATATGGATGCCAACATAGCATCCTTAGAGAGTCAAATTTCCTTCTTGACTTCTCTAATAAAGGAATTTATCTTAAACTCAGAAGCTCAAGATGCCAAGACATGCAACATTTGCATGTCTCACACGCATTTTACGGATTTCTGTCCAAAGCTCCAAGATGAATACCTTGAACAAACTGATGATGTTGGTTACGAAAGAGATGTACCTAACATGAGGTATAATCCGTTCTCCAACTCTAACATGTCTACGGAGGATATGGTCCGGGCTATTGCTACCAACATGACCACTATGCAAAACAACATGGTGCAATTCCAAAATGAGACCAAGTCTAGCATTTTGAACTTGGAAACTCAGATGAGTCAAATAGCCGGAGCCGTGAGTAGGCTTGAAGCAAGGGATTCAGAAAAACTTCCTTCTCAAATAGAATGTGATCCTGAACAGCAAACTTTTGCAATCACATTGACA